AAAGGCAAGGGAAGAGGTCCTTCCGGTGGCGTGTTCAATTTTCGGTAATCCATGCAGATTCGCCACCCTGTGACTGTACGAGTTGAGATCAACTCATTGTTGTCATTTTTCACAACAGTCATTCCCCTTTTTTTCGGAACACATTGGACAGGGCTGACCCAATTACTATCAGAGATGGGGAAAATGATTCCCGCATCTAACCATTTGATCACCTCTTTCTTTACAACCTCTTTCATATTAGGGTTCAGCCTTCGCTGATGTTCCCTGGAAGGTCTGTGCCCCTCCTCCAGGAGAATCTTATGCATACAGAAGGCTGGGCTGATACCCTTTATGTCTGCCATGGTCCAACCAATGGCAGTCTTGTTATCCTGCAGTACCTGTAAGAGCCGTTCTACCTGCACATCTAGCAAACAGGATGATATAATAACAGGCAAGGTCGAATCAGGGCCTAAGAATACATACCTGAGGTGATCTGGGAGTGGCTTCAGCTCCAGCTTGGGTGGTTCCTCTATTGATGGCTTTGCTGGCGGAGTGGCCCTTTTTTCCAGCTCAAGGGACTCGAACTGAGGTTCCCTTGACCAAAACCCTCGGCCTTCCAGTGCCATAACCCATTCAACTAACCCTTCACCATCCATTTCTTCTAAATTCGTCAGACATGCCTCCAATGGATCTTTCACAGTTAGGGTCCTATCATCTTCTTGCAGGATTACATCCACTGCCTCCACTAGAGAGCAATTAGCATATTCACTTGGTCTCCTCATTGATTGCTGAACATTGAATAATACTTCTTCATCGTTCAATCTCATTTTAAGTTCCCCAGTCTCACAGTATATCAGTGCTCTCCCAGTGGCTAAAATGGTCTCCCTAAAGTAAGGGGTATCTCCTCATCCACCTGACAATCCAGAATCACAAAGTTTGCAGGGAACACGAACTTCCCCACTTGCACCAGCACATCATCAAGAATACCAGTTGGTCTTTTCACAGTGCGATCAGCCAGCTGTAGCAGCATAGAAGTTGGTCTAGCTCTGCCGATGCCCAGTTTAGTGTACACTGCCAGCGGCATCAGATTTATGCTGGCTCCCAAATCACAAAACGCCTTTGCAAAGGCACAACTTCCAATTATGCATGGAATAGTGAAGCTACCTGGATCAGACATCTTTTGAGCCATCGATTTTGCCACCACTGCACTGCAGGTCTGTGTCAGAGTTACGGTGGATAGATCCTGAAAATCAAACTTCCGTGACATTAGATCTTTCATCATCTTGGCATAACCGGGCATCTCCCTCAAGGCATCCATTAGAGGAATATTTAACTGAATTTGACGCAGCATCTCCATGAACTTTTTGTATTGGTCTGCCTTCTTTTGTTTGACCAGTCTCTGAGGGAAGGGTGCAGGTATCACCCTTTGTGCATTGCTTGCTGGCTTCTCTCTGTTAGGATTTTCTGGCACAAGAGGTGCCACCTGTTCTGCAACTTGCTCGTTCTCCTTTTCTTTGCCTTTTTCCTCCTGACTCTGCTCAACCACCACTTCAGTAAGTTCGGTTGGTTCTTCTACCTCTAATTGAACTGGAGTGGCTGGTGTAGTGTTCTTGCTGGCTTGTGCAATTTCCTGCTCTCTATCTAAATCTCTACCATTCCGGAGACTGACTGCCATCAGCTGATTCGGGTTTTGCTCCTTGGGGTTTATGTTTGTGTCTGCAGGTAAAGTTCCCGAAGGACGGTTGTTCAAAGCCATGGACAGCTGACCCAGCTGCGTTCAATATTCTTTATGGCTGAATCATGCACTGCCATTTTTCCTGCACTTTATTATTTGACCCAATGAGTTGCTGAAGCATACCCCTGATTTCCACCATGTTGTTATCTTGCTGCTGAGGGGGTGGTTGATAAGCTAATTGCTGCTGATTTTGCTGTGGATAACCCTGTGGTTTCTGATAAGGTACTGGCACTAATTGGTTTTGAGGGTGCATACCCCCAGGCTGCTGTATATTAGGCTTGTACTGCTGATTTTGCTGATGTCTCCACTGCTGTGCTCCTTGTCTCTGACCCCCATAGTTGTTGACATAATTCATATCTTCCCGTGCCCCTTGATTTTCACCTTCTCCTCTCCATGAACACACATAGGACTGATTAATACACGGTGTACATAGTCCTCCATTCGTTGTATCAACGATGTGCACCTGTTTTGTGCCCATCTCATCAATCTTCTTCGTCAATATGCTCATCTGGGTCATGAGTGTGGCCATATTCTCTGCATGTGAATTGTTTGGGTCAAGAGGAACTGAATGCACTATGGGTGCCAGTGTTGTAGCTCTAGTCATCCACCCCGAATTTTGTGACATCTTGTCAAGAAGGATTTTGCACTCGGTGAATGTCTTACTCAATAATGCACCTCCAGCTGAAGCATCCACATTTGCTTTTAAATGGTCAGCTAGCCCCATGTAGAATCTCTGGCCGAGCATCTGGTCTGGAATGCCATGGTGAGGACACTTCACTAGCATTCCTTTAAATCTTTCCCAAGTTTCTTGCAAGGACTCAGTCGGCTGCTGCTTAAACTGCAATATTTCATCAATATGTCTTGTAGTCTTTTTTGGTGGATAGAACTTGTTCAGAAACTGCTTGACTAATTCCTCCCAGGTGGCAATGGAATTGATAGGGAGCGAATTTAACCAAGTCTGAGCTTCCCCGGTCACAGAGAATGGGAACAGTAGCAACTTGATAGCTTCGGGGATCACATTTGGCTGCCTTTGGGTCACACAAATTGACAGAAAATTTTTTAGGTGCTGCTGAGGGTCTTCAATGTGTGATCCGGAGAACAATCCATTATTCTCCAGTAGATACAGCATGTTGTTGGTTATCTGGAAGGTCTCCGCTTGAATTGCGGGCACAACTATGGCAGTGGCCAAGTTATCAGCTGTGGGCTGTGCCCAGTCATAAAGTGCAGCTTCGGGCATAAGGGGTGCCACTACTCTTACGTTGGGGTTTGTCGGCAGATCCCAAACGTTTCCAATGTTGTTTTCTGCGTCACCCATGTTAAATTCGAGCTGGTGTGACTGATGTGATTGTTGGAGCCTCTTGTTAGCACGGTTCAATGCCCTGAATGTTTTCTCGGGGTCTGAAAGTCCTTCTAGCAGTTCTCCAGTCCTCGAGGAACTTCTAGGCATACATCTGCTTTCCACAAGATTTCAAACGTTAGAATTTCAATGAAAAGATTGGGGATAGAGAAAACTGACTACACTTAGAATTTTTGTACTTCTTTCAATTGTAATTGATAACACCGTTAATTCCCCGGCAACGGCGCCAAAATTTGATCACGCTCAACTGAGTCTTGCAAAAGACTATGCGGGCATTGCAAATATAATCTGAGTATTTATGCCCAGAGTCGAACCACAGAGAACTAACCTATCAGTTACTATTGTCAGATTTACTAAATTCACACAATCTATTTCCCCAAACTTTTTGATTCACAATGGTTGATTTTTTCTAACAACTAAAGACTGAAAATAAGTAACAGCTGGAAAGTAACTATGCTTGATGTGTAAACAGTTGGAATAAGGTCTAAGGCAATGGTTTCCCCCGTTGGTAATTTCCTTGGTTGTATATGTCTTATACTATGATTTAGTTGTCTCTATCAATCATGAACGCTCCAGCTATCATAAATCTTTCTCAAGCAATTATGATAATTTACTAGACGCACTCTCTCAAGCTACGCTAGCTAGATTCACAATATGGTTCACTTAGATTGCACCCGAGGTATCGTTATCTCTAATCCAACCTCTAAACCCTCGGTTATGACTCTCGTCTATCCTCCGGGAGTGATGTTATTCATACAATCACCTAAATATGCACTCTCTCTCAAGTAGATACATAATAAATAGGAACGGATAATTGAGGGCCCTTTCAACTAACCACAATCAAAACATAGATGAACAAATAGAGATTAACAATCAAATCCAACTATATTAATAAAACAACCAAGTCATCCCCAACGGGTTCCACCAAAACCTTAGATTAAGGTGTTTAGCTACTCATAACATTGGAGGAATAAACTACTAGAAGATTCATAATCGAAGATTGCAAGAAAAATAAAAGAGAATAAGAATAATGATGTTTTTGGTGATCTCTCACACTTGTTTCTCTTGCCAAAGTACTCTCAAAAGTAAATCTGACCTAATGTGGCCGAATTCCTACTTTTTATATGGGTTTTACATCAAGTTTTCTCGACTTGACACTTTAGTCCCTGGCTTTTCCGCGTTCTACCGCGGTCCCACCGCGGTTACGCCAGGACCACGGCCAGATAGGTCCTCTGAATCTGCAGCTCTGCTCTGCCGCGGTCCTACCGCGATTACGGTCTGACCGCGGCAGGCCAAGTTTAGCTCTGCTTTTGTCTCTTCACTTGGTGCATTTCGTGGGCATTGTTTGATTGGCCTCCTTTTCTCCGTAATTGATCCCAAACTTGCTTCATCGACTTCATTCGTTGGATATAGCCTGCAAAGCATGAAAAACACTAATC